TATGAGTCCTGTTGTACTCTTACAAGTCCTTCTGTCCTCTTACAAGTCCTGCTGTTCTCATACAAGCCCTGCTGTTCTCATACAAGTCCTGCTGTTCTCATACAATCCTGCTGTTCTCATCCAATCCTGCTGTTCTCATACAATCCTGCTGTTCTCATACAATCCTGCTGTCCTCATACAAGTCCTGCAGTTCTCATACAAGTCCTGCTGTTCTCATACAAGTCCTGCTGTTCTTATACAAGTCCTGCTGTTCTTATACAATCCTGCTGTTCTCATTCAAGTCCTGTCCTCTTACAAGCCCTGCTGTCTTCTTACAAGCCCTGCTGTCCTCATACAAGTCCTTCTGTCCTCATACAAGTCCTGCTGTCCTCATACAATCCTGCTGTTCTCATACAAGTCCTTCTGTCCTCATACATGTCCTGTTGTTTTTATGCATGGCCTGTACCAGTGCAATATGTCCTGCTTTCCTAAAGTGACACGGATTGATAAAACACTCCAGGATCCTGACATCAATGATGTTAATATTGCTGTTCCACACTTTTCCCTCTCAAAATCTATTAAAGGGACATGGCCCTGGGTAAGACAGTGTGAAGGTATAAAGTTTTGGGAATAAAAACAGCATCCTCTCATTTTATTTTCACTTACTCATAACGTGCTCAGAATGCTTCTCCTGAAACAAGAGACCATTAAAGGTTCACTTAGAGAATCTAGTATCATCATTCTTTGTCCATGTACACTGTCTACTATCTTAGTGAAAAATACTTTTTGTCATGTTATCAGTGAAAACAGGGACAATCTTTGTCCTTCAAATCTGTGGAAACTTTAATTTTTTCCTCTGACCGTTCCCCTAAGGAAAAGCTATTATTGTTTTTGTGCTGTTACTGCAGAAGTTTCATCCTACATTGCACTGCCCTGGAAGCACCTCTGTTTGCTTTGGGGAAAGACAGCATTGATTGGTCAGTGGCTGCTGTAGACAAAGATGTTGGATTGTGTGACATTGTTGACTAATCTTGTTCCTCATGCTGTCACACTTATTTTTCTGGAACACATCTCTCTGCAGCTGGCTGGTTCCGTTAAAATGCAATACTACTTCAGTTTCCAAACCTCGCTGTAAAACGTTGATCTGTTTTAATCTCTGCTATTCTCTTCATTCTGGGTGACGCTGATGAGCGCAATTGTACACATTTTGAATGTACAGCAGGTTTCTGATTGAAGGCTGTTCTGTTATGCTCCTCTGTGAATGCCATGCACATATTGTACTGTACTGTACATGTACACACACATGTTTGTCTGATGCTGATTCAGGAAAGCCTCATTCAGATGAGGACGCCACGCAGTCTGCTCAACTTTCTCTGACAGGAAGTTTAACTTCTTACACATAGCTAAACTCTGATTAACTGCCTTTCAGTTCTTTTCTAACCACATCTTTGGAAAACCAATGGTAACCCTAGCCCTAATTACTCACCCCCACAGACCCTGGCGCAGGCTCACAGGTTCCCGTTCCAAAACAAACTTCTTGAATCCATAATTTACCATCACTCACAAGCTTTTTCCAAGGACGGTCACAGCAGAACAGTTTTTATCAGACTTTGGGAGTAAACATCTCCAGATGTGACCCTCTAGTGGGAAAAGATTTGACACTCCCAACATATCACACATAGCTGGGAACTAACTGTTTTCAACTATCACTATGGTAGAAGGAAAACAACAGCGTTATTGTGAGGAATGAGTGATTTGACTTCTATGTACAGCTAGAACGTTCAACCCTGAACTTTAGTGTCTGACAGTACAGTCAGTCAGACATTTTAAGCACCCTTTAAAGAAAATTGAAAATCAACATTTCAAGTATGTTTTTAAGTTTTGTTTTAACTCTGCGCCCATTTCACTGTCAACACAATGTTTTATGCTTTTTGTGTAACCGATGTCCTGTGTTTTTGTTACAGGTGTCTCTTATAAGTGAGACTACCTGTCTCAATGAAATTGCATGTCTGAATAAAAGTAAATACTTGTTACTAAGATGTTATACTTGTCACAATTACCCCACACTGCAAAAACTGTCCACCTAACCAAGTTTTAAACTCTTATATCAGCCAAAAAGTCTTTTTGATCTTGTTTTSAGACTGATTTACTAAACAAGAACTGATTGTGTAAGAATAATCATCTTGTTTTCAGAATGTGTAAGATTATTTGTCTTTAAGTCTGAAAGTTAAACTCAAATTAAGTAAGAAAAATTTCTGCCAGTGGATTAAGAAATTTTTACTTGGTAAGATTCTTGAAATAAGAAAAAACTGAGTCAAATCAAGTATTTCAAGAATCTTACCAAGTAAAATTTTCGTACTACACTGGCAGAAATGTTTGTCTTAATTTGAGTCAAATTTTCAGACTAACAAGACAAATAATCTTACACATTCTGTAAACAAGATGATTGGGCCTCATGCAAGAACCGTTGGTACACAGATTTGTTCTTAAG